GAGTCCAACCCCCTGGCTCTGTAGCATTCTGGAAAAATGGTTGTTCAATGTTTTCTTGAAGATCCTCCGTGATGGAGCAGCCACAACTCCAGGAAGCAAACCGTTCCATTGGTTAATGCAGAGGGTCTTCAAACTTGGCCCTTTTATGACTTGTGGACTTCAACTCCCAGAATTCCTCAGTTGGCCATTTTGATAAAACTGTTGGCTTGGATCCAGACCAGGGGTCTTCAAACTTGGCCCTTTTATGACTTGTGGACTTCAACTCCCAGAATTCCTCAGTCGGCCATTTTGATAAAACTGTTGGCTTGGATCCAGACCAGGGGTCTTCAAACTTGGTCCTTTTATGACTTGTGGACTTCAACTCCCAGAATTCCTCAGCCAGGCACGCTGGCTGAGGAATTCTGGGAGTTGAAGTCCACAAGTCATGAAGGGGACATAGTTTCCTCCATGTTGGCTGAAGAATTCTGGGAGTTGAAGTCCACAAGTCCTAAAAGGGCCAAGTTTGAAGACCCCTGGATTAATCATTCTCCCTGCCAGGAAATTCCTCCTTAGTTCCAGGTTGAATCTTCCACTGATGAGCTTCCACCGGTTGCTTCTTTTCCCGCCTTCACAGAGACTAAATTGACCCCCTCTTCCTGTGACAACTTTTCAAGTTCAGGTAGTCCTCGACTTACAACAGCTCGTTTAGTGACTGTTCAAGGTTACAATATGGAAAAAAATGACCTGTGCTCGTTTTTCACACCGTTGCAGCATCCCCATAGTCGCAGGATCAAAATTCAGACGCTTGGCAACTGACTCACATTTGTGACGGTTGCAGTGTCCTGGGGTCACGTGATCACCTTTTGCGACCTTCTGACAAGTGAAGTCAATGGGGGAGCCAGATTCACTTAACACCTGTTACTAACTTAATAGCTGCAGTGATTCACTTAACAACTGTGACAAGAAAGGTCATAAAATGGGGCAAAAATTCACTTAACAGCTGTCTCGCTTAGCGACAGAAATTTTGGGCTCTGTTGTGGTCGTAAGTCGAGGACTGCCTGTATTGAAGATGCCTGTATTGAATATCCTTTTCCTTAATAGAGGAGACACAATTTCAGTACTTGTGTCACATTTCATGCTGTCACCCTGTTTATACAAAAAGTCACAACACACAGCTTCAATCTGTGTTGTGGTCACTTGTTCCAGATGTTTCTGGAAACCCTGAAATTCTTTCTTGCGTTTCTCCCAAGCATGGTCCTGCGAATTAAAAACATATTTTATTTTGCAAAAAAGAAAACACCCCCCCCCCACCACCACAACAAATAAGCTGTAAAAACGGACAACCATGTCTAGAACATAACAAAAACAGGATTTTCAGTCTTGAGACCATAACATCTGGGGGTGTGATCATTCTTGAATGTTGTCCAACGTACATTCTGTAAACCTTCATCAGCTTTGAGCTCACAGTTGTGAGTGTCAGTGTGTGCACCTGCACGTATGTGCTTAGTGTATGAGTGATGACTCAGTTGTTTGTGCTGGTGACTGCAATCCAGATTTGCTAATTTGCATCAAAATTGTTCGGGTCTGTCACGCGTACTTTCTCTCAGATGGATTAAAGCCACTGCTTGGTTCAAGAACGGACGTGAAAGTGTGCTCAATAAACTTTATAATAATAATAATAAAGTTGGAAGGGACCTTGGAGGTCAACAAGTTCAACCCCCTGCTCAGGCAGGAAACCCTATACCATTTCGGACAAATGGCTGTCCAGTCTCTTCTTAAAAACGTCCAGTGTTGGAGCATTCACCGCTTCTGGAGACAGGTGGTTCCACTGGTTAATTGTTCTCACTGTCAAGAAGTTTCTCCTTAGTTCCAGGTTGCTTCTCTCCTTGATTGGTTTGCATCCGTTGCTTCTTGTCCTGCCTTCGGGCGCTTTGGAGAATAGCTTGACTCCCTCTTCTTTGGGGCAGCCCCTGAGATACTGGAACACTGCTATCATGTCCCCCCTCGTCCTTCTCTTCGTTAAACTAGACATCCCCAATTCCAGCAACCGTTCCTCATATGTTTTAGCCTCCAGTCCCCTAATCATCTTTGTTGCTCTTCTCTGTACTCTTTCTAGAGTCTCAATGTCTTTTTTACATCGCGGTGACCAAAACTGGATGCAGTATTCAAAGTGTGGCCTTACCTTACTTTATTTTTATAATTCTCTCTCTTCTAAAACTGGGGTACAGACACCGGCCTGGCCTGACAGAAGCAAAGGTCACCCATGTCTCCCTGATTCAATCGTGGAAACAAATACAGGTAGTCCTCAAATTACGACCACATTGGAGCCCAAAATTTATGTTGCTAAGTGAGAAATGTATTAAGTGAGTTTTGCCCCATTTTACAACTTAGCTTGCCACAGAAAAGTTGAATTGCTTTGGTTGTTAAATTAATAACACGGTCGTTAAGTGAATCCGGCTTTGCCACTGAGTTTCCTTGTGAGAAGGTCGCAAAAGGGGATCACGTGGCCCCAGGACCGTCATAAATGTGAGTCAGTTGTCAAGCATCTGAATGTAAATCACGTGGCTACGGGGATACTGCCACGGTCATGTGTGAAAAATGGTCATAAGTCCCTTATAATAATAATAATAATAATAATAATAATAATAATAATAATAATAATAATAATAATAATAATAATAATAATAATAAGAAGAAGAAGAAGAAGAAGAAGAAGAAGAAGAAGAAGAAGAAGAAGAAGAAGAAGAAGAAGAAGAAGAAGAAAGAAGAAGAAGAAGAAGTTGGAAGGGGCCTTGGAGGTCATCTAGTCCAACCCCTTGCTCAGGCAGGAAACCCTATACCATTTCAGACAAATGGCTGTCCAATCTCTTTTTAAAAACTTCCAGTGTTGGAGAAGGAAGGAAGGAAGGAAGGAAGGAAGGAAGGAAGGAAGGAAGGAAGGAAGGAAGGAAGGAAGGAAGGAAGGAAGGAAGGAAGGAAGGAAGGAAGGAAGGAAGGAAGGAAGGAAGGAATACCAGAATGACAGATGGAGTTAGTTCCAGGTTGCTTCTCTCTGCATAAATGGCTACCACAAAATTGTACATTGGTTCCCGGCCGGCCTGGGCCAGGGCTAAGGCAGCGGAGGCCGTTCCCTCACTGTTTCCAGGATGGCTTTGTGGGCCACATGAAACCACTTCGCGGGCTGCATCCGGCCCCCGGGCCTTGTGTTTGACATGTCTGTCTTAGGACAAGTGTCTTCCTGTAGGAGAAGGATTGGCAGAACCAGGAGGAGGAGTCAAAAGAGGCATCAGCTTAGAATCATTATGTAGTCACAAAAGAATGAAGTCCAATCCTCCTTGAATGCTATTGACCCTTGTCTAGTACTAACCAAATGCTAACAGTTAGTCTGAGAAGATTCCTGTGCCTAGGCTTTAACAATAAATTAGTACAGGTAATCCTCGGCTTACAACATTCACTTAGTGACTGTCACTAAATCACCATATGTGACTTTCCCAACCGGCTTCCGACAAGCATCGTCAAGGGAAGAAACCAGATTTTCATAACCGCCACAAAATTCCCAAAAATCACTGTAATTGTAGCGATTCGCTTAGCGAATCTGTGCCAAAAAGGTCATAAATTGGGGCACAGCTCAACTAACAACTGCCTTGCTTAGCCACAGAAACTTTGGGCTCAACTGTGGTTGTAAGTCAAGAACTACCTATAATGTACAACTTCCGCTTAAGGACCTGCATTTCGTGCACCTGATGCTCCATGGTTTATTGGAACATAAAGGTGGGGAGTCAGAACGCATCCGAATGTGCAAGATTTGGTTATTTTAGCTTCTCAGAATAAAGGGTAATTCTGCTCTTCGTGTGGCGTTGATTGATCAACCTACCACACCAGCATCGACAATTGGGAAGTCGTTAAAAAAATCCCTAAAAAATGGAAAAATCACTTCTAATAGTGTAGCCCCAAAATAGCCAACTCTACCTGGATTTATCTTTGAAGTCAGAGTTGTGCTTAGCTTAGAAGTATGGTAAGAATTCACTTCCTCCACAATCCTTGTTACTATGCCCCCCAAATCACAAGAATAAAACTCAGGAAAAGAAATACAGAAACAATGTTTCACTCATGGAACCTCCTAGCTGTTGCGAAAAGTGGATTCCCAAAAAGAGCTTGCTAAAAGAAATAGACGAACTAAAGATAAGAGGATAAAAAAGAATGACATCTATTTGACGAGATTGAAACTCAAGGAAGCCAGCATTTCAGACCCATTGCTAACCTTTGTGAAACAAGCTAAACAAATCTAATCACAAAAGCACACAAAGCAAGCCTCCAATTACAAAATGCTGTAAAACTGTATAAAAATCTTTGCACTCGTCGAATCAATTTGTCAGCTGTCCCAGAACTGCATGCTCTTGCTGGTTCTGCTCATCAATAAAGAAGCTTCTTTCCTAAGCAGCCAGCCTCCATTTTTTATTCCCAGCTTGGAACCAGACCTGATTTTTCTTTCGTCAGAAGCATCTTTACTTTTATAACTAGTAGGACAGCCATTTTGTGACAATGCTTGAAATTCCACCAGGCCATAAACATGACTCTTAAATATACTTCATTTTCTAATGACACTTTAGTTCAAAATCTGTACAGGGAGTCCTTGACTTACAACAGTTGGTTTAGTGACTGTCTGAAGTTACAACGGCATGGAAAAAGGTGACTTATGAGCCTTTTTCACGCTTATGACCATTGCAGCATCCCCATGGTCATGTGATCAACGTTCATATTTATGACGGTTGCCACATCCCGGGGTCATGTGATCCCCCCCCTTTTGCGACCTTCCGACAAACAAAGTCAGTGCTTAAGCCGGATTTGCTTAACGACCATGTTACTAACTTAACAACTGCAGTGATTCACTTAAGAACTGTGGCAAGGAAGGTTGTAAACTGGGGTAAAATTCACTTACCCAATGTCTCGCTTAGTAACAGAAATTTTGGGCTCTCAATTGTGGTGGTAAGTCAAGGACAACCTGTAATCTCTTGCCACAGATCTTCTCGTCTTCCTGCAGGAAGATTTGACCGGGATGATGATGTCCCAAACCCTGCTAGAAATTCGGATGCTTGCAGAGCAGAAAAAAAGTCTTCAACACGGACCAAGAGAAGCACGGTGCTCTTCCACCAACTTTTCTTAATCATGGAGCCAAAAGGTAGGGTTGAAGAAGCTGCTAAGGAGAGGTTCCGTGAAGTCCTCACTTCTCCATCGGTCAGCTGTGGTACTGGAGTCAGAAGCCTGAAAAAGACAGAAAGGCTGGGACTTGACTCAAGAATGGCTTCCATATACAGTATAAGGATGGAAACAAGAAGCTCTAGACTTAAGTTCACACCACTAAGCTTCCTGATGGAAGAGAACATTGGTAGCTCAAGGTTGAACGGAGGGGTCCTTGGTGCTCTCTGCTAGAAGGGAGTGGGGTTTGCAGAGGAGGAGGAGGAGGAGAAGGAGGAAGAGGAGAAGGAGGAGGAGGACGAGGGAGAGGAGGAGGAGGACTGTGGGGTCCTTGGTGCTCTCTGAGATTGGTTTTTCTGTAGATGTTTCATGACCCAACTAGGTAACGTCATCAGTGCTAGAAGGGAGTAGGGTTTGCATAGGAGGAGGAGGAGGAGGAGGAGGAGGAAGAGAAGGAGGAGGACTGAGGGGTCCTTGGTGCTCTCTGAGATTGGTTTCCCTGTAGATGTTTCATGACCCAACTAGGTAACATCATCAGTGCTAGAAGGGAGTGGGGTTTGCAGAGGAGGAGGAGGAGGAGGAGGAGGAGGAGGAGGAAGAGAAGGAGGAGGAAGGGGAGGAGGAGGAGGAGGGAGAGGGAGAGGAGGAGGAGGAAGAGGAGAAGGACTGTGGGGTCCTTGGTTAGGGTTAGGGTTAGCCTTCAGGTGCTTTGGAGAATAGCTTGACTCCCTCTTCTTTGGGGCAGCCCCTGAGATAGTGGAAGACTGCTTTTCATTAAACTAGACATACCCAAGTCCAGCCACCATTCTAGGGTTAGGGCTGTGTGGTGTATTCATGTTTGCAACTAGTGGGTCAGGGTTAGATATAGCTCAACTGCAGACCATTTTACTTTAGCATTTATTCCTCCCCAAACAATGCTGTGTCCACTCTTAGGGACTGCCATTTTCTCCTTCTCAAATGTCCAGAGTTTTATTCATAATGGAGGGAAATGAGCAAGATCCAGCTGCTAGGAATTGTGGCCCAAAACACCACTTATTTTTGCCACAAAACTTCCAGAACTCGCTAGACAAGAGATAGCTACGGCCAACTTAACAGAATAAACAGAGTTGGAAGGTACCTTGGAGGTCATCTAGTCCAATCCCTTGCTTAAGCAGGAGACCCAATACCATTTCAGACAAATGGCTGTCCAGTCTCTCCTTAAAAACTCCAGTGATGGAGTATCTACAACTTCTGGAGGCAAGTCGTTCCACTGGTTAATTGTTCTCACTGTTAGGAAATTTCTCCTTAATTCTCCTTAATTCTCCGGATTCTGTCCTTGGTTGTTTTCCATCCGTTGTTTTTTGTCCTGCCTTCTGGTGCTTTGGAAAATAAGTTGATTTCCCTCTTCTTTGTGTTAGTTGCGAAGTTGTGTCCAACCCATCGCAACCCCATGGACAACGTTCCTCCAGGCCTTCCTGTCCTCTACCATCTTCTGGCGTCCATTGAAGCTCAGGCCTGCTGCTTCAGGGACTCCATCCAGCCACCTCATTCTCCGTCGTCCCCTTCTTCTCTTGCCCTCCATCTTTCCCAGCATCAGGCTCTTCTCCAGTGAGTCCTTCCTTCTCATTAGGTGGCCAAAGTACTTGAGTTTCAACTACAGGATCTGGCCTTCTAAAGAGCAGACGGGGTTGATCTCCTCTAGGACTGACCGGTTGGATCGCCTTGCAGTCCAGGGGACTCGCAGGAGTCTTCTCCAGCAGCAGAGTTCAAAGGCCTCCATTCTTTGGCACTCGGCCTTTCTTATGATCCAACTTTCACAGCCATGCATTGCAACTGGGAAAACCATGGCCTTGACTATACGCACTTTTGTTGGCAGGGTGATGTCTCTGCTTTTTAGTATGCTGTCTAGATTTGCCATGGCTTTCCTCCCCAGGAGCAAGCGTCTTTTAATTTCTTGGCTGCAGTCCCCATCTGCGGTGATCTTGGAGCCCAGGAAGATAAAATCGGTCACTATCTCTTTGTGGCAGCCCCTCAAATACTGGAAGACTGCTATCGTGTAGAAGAAGATGTATTAATAAACCTACAGCTTCAGCAGAGAGCCTGGTTAATTCATGGCCGGTATCCTTAATTACTCATCCTAATGACTCATTGCAATCAACTCTACACAGATCTCTCCAGCTGCTTGGAGATGACAGTGGGAAGGGGGGGGGGTGTCCTCAGGGTATAGTGTTAAAAAGTCATAGGATGTGATCAAAGCTCTGCTTGCCTTTAATGTCTGTTGTAGGCTTTTAAGATTCCTGTTATAATTCCCTAGCCACACCAATAAAGAGCATTCTGAAATCCCTGCTGTAGCTGGTTTTTTAAAAAAATCTTTCAATTTATCTCTGTCACATCTTATACCCAACCCTGCGTCAAGGCAGGTTTTTTTTTCTAATTTTACTAATTTAGTTATTTTGTTTATATCCCGCCCTTATTATTTTTACAAATAATTGAAGGTGGCAAACATATTCAAGATACGCTCCTCCTTCTAGTTTTCCCACAACAACAACCTTGTAAAGTGGGTTAAGCTGAGAGAGAAGAACTGGCTCAAGGTCACCCAGCTAATGCCTAAGGCGAGACTAGAACTCACTGCTTCCTGGTGATTGGCACCAAAGTCACCCAGCCAGGTTTCATGGCTAAGGCGGGACTAGAACTCACTGCTTCCTGGTGATTGGCACCAAAGTCACCCAGCTGGCTTTCATGCGTAAGGCGGGACTAGAATTCACTGCTTCCTGGTGATTGGCCCAAAGTCACCCAGCTGGTTTTCATGCCTAAGGCGGGACTAGAACTCACTGTCTCCTGGTGATTGGCCCAAAGTCACCCAGCCGGCTTTCATGCCTAAGGCGGGACTAGAACTCACTGCTTCCTGGTGATTGGCCCAAAGTCACCCAGCCGGCTTTCATGCGTAAAGTGGGACTAGAACTCACTGCTTCCTGGTGATTGGCCCAAAGTCACCCAGCCGGCTTTCATGCNACGTTATCGGCTAGGTCACCCTCAGGCAGAGGCGATGGCGAAGTGGAGCCAAGCACCTGGAGCCCTCCATCCAGCTGAGTCTAAAATACATGCATATCCAGGAGACGAAAAAGGAGCGTAAATCGGGATATTCAACAAAATCTTGGATTTGAGAATGTTGTGATGTCTATATCGGATTACCTGGCATAAATCAATCCACGATAGATTTGTGTGGGGTTTTTTTAAAAAAAAAATCTAGTTTGAGGGAACTGAAAAGGTATCAATCTACCCATTTCCTTGTAGAAAGAGTGTAGAGTTTCTAAGACGCTTCTTAACTGCCTGCGTATCACACATCGAACTTAAATCTTAGCAAATCGCTAGGGCTTCACTTAACATGTCTCTCAAAACAGGCTACATTACAGTAAAATCTTGATCTAACGAGGAACTTGGGGGAAAGAACCATCTGTTATTGGGTGTGACTCACACCCAATATGTTCTGGTCCCAATTGTGGTTGAAAGTCAAGGACTACCTGTATCAGGAATTTGAAGGATGTGGGTGTAAGAATCATCGGGCATATGAGAACCTAACTAACATACCAACACGAGAGACCATTCATGGTTAACCTGATTACTGAACTAATCATTCTGTTTCATAGCTTCTTCTATGAAACCATTTTTCAGGTGTTTGAAGAGTAGTAAACTGCCAGAGTCACTTCCAAGAGAGGGATAACAATAGCAATAGCGCTTAGACTTATATACCATTCACAGTGCTTTTCAGCCCTCTCTAAGCAGTTTACAGAGTCGGCCTATTGCCCCCAACAATCTGGGTCCTCATTTTACCGACCTCAGAAGGATGGAAGGCTGAGTCAACCTTGAGCCAGTCAGGATCGAACTGCTGAACTGCTGGCAGTCGGCAGTGAGCAGAAGTAGCCTGCAGTACTGCATTCTAACCACTGCGCCACCATGGCTCATGGTCATGGATGGCCATATAAATGTAGTAGACAGTTGTTTGCTTGTTTGCTTGTTTGCTTGTTTGTTTGGATGGATGGATGGATGGATGGATGGATGGATGGATGGATGGATGGAGGGTTGGTTGGTTGGTTGGTTGGATGGATGGATGGATGGATGGATAGAGGGTTGAATTGATGGATGAATGAATGGATGGTTGAATAGGATGAATGAATCTATGTATGTTTGGATGGATGGATGGATGGATGGATGGATGGATGGATAGATGGAGGGAGGGAGGGATGGATAGATGGATGCATGCATGCATGGATGGAGGATTGGATGGAGGGAAGGAGGGAGGGATGGAGGGTTGAAGGGATGGATGGATGCATGGATGCATGGATGGAGGATTGGATGGATGGAGGGTTGAAGGGATGGATGGATGGATGAAGGATTGGAGGGAGGGATGGATGGATGGAGGTTTGAAGGGATGGATGGATGCATGAATGCATGGATGGAGGATTGGATAGATGGATGGATGGATGGAGGGAGGGAGGGTTGAAGGAATGGATGCATGGATGGATGGATGGTTGGATGGATGGATACATGGAGGGAGGATTGGATGGATGGATGGATGGACGGAGGGTTGGAGGGATAGATGGAGGGTTGGAGGGATGGATGGAGGGATGGATTGTTGAAGGATTGGAGGGATAGAGGGATGGGTGAATGGGTGTGTATGCACATACACCCACATACACCCACACATACACAGAGAAGGCAATCGTGTTTTCCTTCAGTCTTCTATTCTCAGGGTCAAAACTATCTCCTTCCTTCAAAACCTCTCTTCTAAAACTGATCACCCCTATCCCCCTTCTTTAAACCTCTTCCAGTTTCTATAAATCCTTCTTAGTGGCGCCCACTAATACGACGTTCAAGCTGGTGTCTGAGCAAAGCGGGGGAGAGTGGAATAAGGCTTGCTCCTCAAGTGAACAAACCGGGAGAGTGAGAACTGAGAAATTTCGCATACAAGTTAAATTCGGCAATGGGAAAAGAAAGTAGAAAAAGAAAGAAGACGACAGAGGAAGAACCAAAAGGATGGAGTGGGGGGAGCTGGCACAGATGGCTTCCAGCTTTTTGAGTGGGATTTCTGGATCAGGAGACTGGGATCTGGATCTTACCTGCTGGCTGCCCCATAGATTGCTTTCTTGGCTAGTTTCAACTAGAGATTCAGTGGCCTCTAGGGTGGACGCTCCTGCCCCAACAGCAGCACCGTTCCGAGTCCCGTTCACCAGAGGAGATAGTCCTTGCCACGGGTCTTCCTGTCCAAGGGCAAAAGGGTCATTGAGGTCCTCTTCCCTCTCACCCCCTTCTGGTTCAGTCTCTCCTAAAGTGTCTTCTGATTCTCCACAGCCCCCTTCTTCTTCAGCCGCCAATTCGGGGTCTTCAACTAGAACAAAGACAGATGTTGGTGGGATGAACATCAAAGTCCCAAAGGCCCCTTTTCCAAAAGGCAACTGGACTTTCTTCTGTGTGTGTGTGTTTTTTTTCTTGGAAAAGGTCTCGCTTCACGTCCAAGAAGCTTCTTCAGTTCTGAAGAACTGAAAAAGCTTCTTGGGTGAGAAGCGAAATGTTTTCAAAGAAAAAACAACAACAAGAAAGTCCCCATTGTGAAAAACCAAATGTACAGGTACAGTATAGGGGGTACCTTGCTCAATAGTGGTAACTGTGAGAGGGACCTCGGAGTCCTAGTGGACAATCCCTTAAACAGGAGCCAGCCGTGTGCTGCAGCTGCCAAAACAGCCAACACAGTGCTGGGCTGCATTAACAGAGGGATAGAATCAAGATCACGTTAATACCACTTTACAAGGCCTTGGTAAGGCCACACTTGAAATACTGCATCCAATTTTGGTCACCACGATGTAAAAAAGATGTTGAGACTCTAGAAAGAGTACAGAGAAGAGCAACAAAGATGATTAGGGGACTGGAGGCTAAAACATATAAGGAACAGTTGCTGGAATTGGGTATGTCTAGTTTAATGAAGAGAAGGACGAGGGGGACATGATAGCAGTCTTCCAGTATCTCAGGGGCTGCCACAAAGAAGAGGGAGTCAAGCTATTCTCCAAAGCCCCTGAAGGCAGGACAAGAAGCAACGGATGGAAACTAATCAAGGAGAGAAGCAACCTAGAACTAAGG